GTGTTTGTTTCCCCACACTGCTGAGGGTTGAGCAGTCATCTCACCTATACCTCATACAGATACCTACATTGTAGACTTCCAGTTTGGCAGATCTGTTCTGTCTTAGAAAACTGAAGAGAGTTCTGTGTACAGAAAAACGTCATTCTATTTTCTGGTTCTGCAGCACTGTAATGTCTTTTAAACAAGCTTGAGACAACTTAAGCAGCAGAGTGGACATCTACAGGCAATGCTGTAGGCACTTTTGTTGCTCAGCTTAGGGACTACACTTTACCCTATGGTAAGACACCCTTCATGCTGCAGACCAGAAGATGAAAATAAAGTGAATCACGCTTTCCAAAAGGAGTCAAAACTACAGGAGTAAGCTAAAGCCCAATAGTCAAGTGTCCAGGTTAGATACACAGACCTTTTGCTAACTGATTTTGGTCTGTGAGGATTTACTCTGATTAGCTGAGGGAATGTTGCAGTGGAGTTTGTTTGGTTTTGTTCTTGTATTTTGTTTTGCTTTCCCCTAGAAACTCAATATTAAGACACTCATTTAAGAGCACTGGCATTGAGCCCTCAAAATTGATCAAACCTACAAGGGAAACTAAAATCCTTGGTAAGCATATGGTACAGTAGATGCTAACTGAAAAAGCTGATGTTTTGCCTACACAAACACAAAAGTAAGTTTTCTGACCTGATTCAGAGTCACTGCTATCTGAGGAGCTAGTACTGCTGCCAGAATCTGAGGAGCAGCTGTTGTCACTCAGTCTGCTTGGTCCAGTACTGGACTCAGCCTTGTTTTCAGCTGCAGGGGGAAAAGACAGAATTTAGAACAACCTGCAGTAGAGCATTCTTCATATATATGACTAGGATCGACGTTGTTAGCTCTGTTCTTCCACGTAACAAGTTCATCTTATTCCACTTCCTTGCCCACTGTCCATTTAGCAATGGACTTGAGAACAAAGGTCTCCCTCTGCAAAGGAGAGGAGAGGGATTTACCAGCAGCAAGCTAGTTGAATGAATGAAATATCCAAGGAGGAGCTCTAGTCACACAATTTACCACCCTAAAGGAGATCAAAATTATGCTGTCTTAAGGCACAATACAAGCCATTTCCCCCCAGAAGTTTTCCTGCTGTTAAGAGCCTGTTGCTCTGCTTGTTGCTGCTGCCAGGCTTGCATGCTGAGATCTTGATCTATAGTCAGCTCTTTCCCAGGCCACATGTACTCCAGAAGTGCCATCTTTTGCCACCTTCCCATCATTGGACTATTTTGCATCTGCAGGATTGATTTCACTCAGTTTATAGTGAGTTTTGCAGTCAAAGCTTTTTCAAAGCATGCTCTGATGGAAGCTTTGGAAATGAGGAGCTACATGGATACCTGTTTCCCTGGACATAAGTCTTTGTTAAGTGCCAGATTAAGCTCTTGCAAACAAGCCAGATGCCAGTTGTAGAGATTCCCTGGCCTGCCTCCTCCCTCTCCCCACAACATATACTTCACAATTGATTCTTTAAACTTTTCTTTCTAGTATGTTTTCAAGCTATCATTATACCAGACAGAAGGACTTGACTGAGCTAATGCTGGATGTAAGGCTGTGTTTATCATTTCAGCTAACAGGTTTTACATAGGACCTCATTAGACATCCACTGGAGGGCAATAATAGCACTCACTGGTTTAATGAGGAACAGCTTGACCTATAACAGTAGCATCAGCTACGTTCATCCATTCTCAGCCTCTGATGAGAGCCACCAGTAAGCGGCTCAAGTATAGCCTGAATTTCTGGCTTTGATCTCAAAACACATTATTGCCTGAAAAACTGAATTGATTCTCCCAGGGCACTTCCTTAAGTCTCAGAGAACACAGCACACCTGTCAGTGATACAGACATTTTGCTGGTGTGCCAGCATTAGTGAGCCTGCCATCTAACAAGCATGACTAGAATTGGTTATCCTCAAATCCCTAAGCCACTGAAAGTGAATTGCAAACAAATGGGCTGTGTGACCCTCCACACTCCCCACCATGTTTTCATATGTCAGCATAAGGGAGTTTTCAGTATCACTTAAGTTCTGAAGCTGTTACTGTCTTCACCTGCAAAAAAGTATTAGGTGCAAGAATAAGGAACATTCTTTAGACAGGACAAGTAACTGGCTAAATTTGCTGCTGTGACTCCAGATCACTGAACAGGAAGAATCTTGAGACTAACAAGGGGAAGGCCTAAGACCCCAACTCCTCTGAGGAGATAAGTCCTGTTATGCAGCTGGGAACTAAGTCCAAGAGAAGAAACAAGGGGACAATTCCACTTTAAGCTATTCCCATTACAAATGAATAAAAGTAAGAGCTACTTACACTCAAAGTTCTTCTTTGGGTTTAGTTCACCATTGACAGCCAGCTGTTTCTTCTCAAGTACTTGCTTCCTCTTAGAATTCACTTGTTCTTTTGACTTTGTTGCATTTTCAGCTGCATGTGAAACAGAAGTTAACATAGAAGCAAACCAGAAAATAAATCTAGTGGCTTTGGCAGGTTTTCTAAAGCATCATTTATGCTACATACCTCTCATCTGACTTGGTCTCTTCCTCAAACAGGAGGCCACATATTTCTCTAGTTTTCTGAGTGTTGGAGCATTTAAAGTTGCAATGTCTACTTCTAATTCATCAAAGTTAGAGTTCCTCAGTGCAGGTTCTCCTGACTGTATTATAAGGACTACTTTCACAAGCTTTTCTCCAGGGAGTTTACTTATATCTAAAGCCAACTGTTGTTTTTCATCATAATTCATAGGCTTGGCACCGTCATTTTCTGGCTTCTGTGCCAACAACACCTGCTGCATGGTTTTCTTTGATTGACTGCAGGGGAAAAAAGTATATTCAGTAAGAGCAGTTTAAAATAATTTGACACCCACACAAGTTCCCCACACTTACATGTTTAAAGACAGCTTTTTCTGAGATTCCTTCTTGTGTTGCAGATTCTTCTTTTGAATCAAGCTCTTTATTTTAGCCTTTTCCTTGTTCTTCCTTTGCTTGCTCTTAGCCTTGCCTTTTTTCTTTTCCCATTTAGGTAAGCATGCTTTGGTCAAAAGCCAAAACTCCTGTCCAAAAGCTTTAAGCTATCAAAAGAAAAAAAAAAGATGATACTCCTGGGCAATGAAGGAGCAACAATAAAGTGGCCCTAAATATCACAGATTTGTGGCAGCTGAGTGGATATTAATAGGCTGTTTGCTTTCCAAATGAGATTTATTTTCCAAATATCTAACTATATTGTAGCCTAATCACAGAATATGGATCTAGAAGATGTAGGGATACTCATTTTATGCAGAAATTCCTACCAGCATGTGCTTTCTGGCACTCTGTGAAGAATAAAAAAGCAAGAATCACTAGAGTTTCCAGCAGCCTCTCTAATTTCAAGCATTTGGGATGCACATAAGTGACTTATTGGGTTCTATCTCTACAGCACTGCTGGATTAGGCTGCTGGGACTGGGCTTGTGCATCTTATTTTGCAGTATAAAAAGGCTAGTGAGGACATACTAACAACTCAGGAGAAAAACTTAATGCAGCTTGGTTTAAACCTCAGGAATCAGAATGAAGACTGTCAGATGATGAGAATTGGAATTCAGACACAGAAATACTCTGTTATTGAAAAGGCTGCCTTGTACACTTTTCTTTGTCCTCATGCCTACATTAGTAAATTGATGGTACACATGGTGATCCGACAAGTACTGAAAACTGTCCCTCATGTGAGTAGCAGAACAAATGCTCATTATCCCCACAGTTGACAGAGAGCAACAGCAGTTAAAGCATTACATCCAAGCAGAAGCAAGACCCATTCCACCCTTAACCAGTGAAGCAATGCCATCCTTCACACTAGCATGAGACTCCTGGTTTATCTCCTACTGAGCTTTCTGAAGTAGAATTTGATGCCTTGCTTTTGTGTGGCTCAAAGGAGACTGAGTGTAGGAACAGAGCTCTTCAACTGTGTGAAGGAAATGCCCCCGTTAGAAGAATATGGCACTAAGCTACATGTGAAGTGTCTAGAGGCTCTCACCACACCACAGGAACACAGCTGTGTTTTTTAAAAGTTTGAGAGTCATCTGAAGAAGTGGTAGGCAAGAGTAGTAGGGCACTGATTAACTAAAACCACTTTGGATTTGCTGAGGCACTATTCACTTAACATCTGGAGGTGCCCTCAAACAGGAGTCAAGTTCTGTGTTAAGAAAAACAAATTACTAGAATCTTTTTAAAACTGATTTTTGGTGCTAAGCCTTAGAATAGACAATTGAAAATGACACCAGAGAGATCGTAACAGTCATTCACACTGAGTACTAATGCTTACTTGCTCATGAAGTTTTGCAAGGTGCAGTATTCCCTCCTCTTCAGAATCTTCAGATGAATTTTTTTCTGAAGAGTCATCATCGCTACTTTGCTCATGAAGCTTTGCAAGGTGCAGTCTTATCTCCGCTTCAGAGTCTTCAGAGGAATTTTCTTCTGAAGAGTCGTCATCAGTACTTTCACTGGAATAAACTCCTGACACTTCTCTCAAAGGCTGTGGCAGATGAGCACTTGCAAGAGGTTCATCAGGAATTTTGGCAAAGTGCATTTCGAATACATCCTAAAGGGTTAGGTTTGGGAACAGATATTTTTTCAGATTTCGAAAAGCATTACGAAGTTACTACTTGTTGTCTAGAATGACACAGCAACGCAGTAGTTTGGTAACATTTGTAGATTCTACATCAGAGCATGATATGACCTACTCTTTTTCAAGTCTGACTTAAGAGATAATTTACCTGAAGTTTTCTTGCCATAGTGACTATTTCATGGTCAGGAGAATTATGTTTGTAGCAGTTCATGAACATTGATCTCACATCTGTAGCAAATTCTTGTTTATTGTTATATTCCAGGTTATCCATTTTCTCCTAGAGGTAAAGAAAGTAAATGAACATTTAGCAGAGAGCACCACCATGAACTGGCAAGAAAAAGAGAAGGCACAAGAATTTTGACATAGAGATTCAGGTTCAGCTTGTATCAAGACAGTAAATACTGGAAGAAAATTGTGAAAAGACCTGCTTCTCATTTCAACATTGTCTCCTGAATGTAAGAGGTTTTTTCCCCATCTTTTAAACAGATTTATTAATTGCCATAAGGACTTTGTAGTAGTAATCTCAGCACTAGGTCAAGACAACAGTGTTTGGGTGATTTTATTTGGTCATGTACTCAGCACCTGTTTCTGATTCTAAGCATGATATTTACACAAAGCTTGTTCCATAATAACTGGTGTCAAAGTAGTGGGCTAGAAGTTAGGAAACAACCTTTATATTGTGCAAGCCAGTTTTCAAGATAATTCAGTAAACTATCAAAATTTAACCCTATTTACAAAGGTGGAGCTTAACTGGGCTAAATACTTTAACCCCACACAGATACACCCAGTGTTCAACAGAGCACTGTCCACGTTTCTCCGTCTGGAAGGGTTGCTCGAAAAGGTGAAAGGCACCAAACAAATATCCAGCATTGAGCTTTCAGGGCACTTCAAGGAGAATGAGATTCAGGGAGAAGCAGAAGTTGACAAAATAGGATTGCATTTCATGTTATAGGGCATTAGCACTAGCACTGTGTGTACAGACTGAGATACCTGACACGCAGTCAGCCTGGAAGTGCTTCATGGAGCTTCTAATCCTCTCATTGCTTGTATTAGCTTGTTCAACAGGTGAGTAGACTAGCCCCTATGTGCACAGTCACCACGAGACTTAGAAGACTTTCTTCAGAGACCTGTGGCTACGTCTGAGAACCATAAATGAATCTGTTTGCTATGCCCATTATATCTTTCAAAGGAGAAGTGGCTTTTGTGACACCTTTTCAGCTAACACCTTTAAAACTTTGTCATTACACAAATTACTCAAGCATATGCACAAATAGTCCAAGTTCCTCAGAAACATACTTACTTTAATGGTTCTTAGGTTTGTAGGACATTTGGCAATGCCTTGGTTCTCACCAGTGGGGAAAGTTGCCGCATCTACAGGTTTTAAGAAAGGCCATGCATATGCTGCATGCTTCTTTGAAAACATTTCTTCAAGTATCGCATTACAATGTTTTAGTTCTTCTGACAACAGAATCTTTTTAGTAGGTCCAGGTGACGACCATGGAGAATCTAGCAAAGATCTCTTCAGATGCTTGTTTGATACTATATATTCATTTTCACCTCTGTGTGCTTGAACAGTTTCGCTTTCATTAAACGTTGCAGATGATTCACCGCTTGCTGCGTCTATTGAGGTAGCAGGAGTTGTAGCATACTATATATTCATTTTCACCTCTGTGTGCTTGAACAGTTTCGCTTTCATTAAACGTTGCAGATGATTCACCGCTTGCTGCGTCTATTGAGGTAGCAGGAGTTGTAGCATCAGCCTTCCTCTTCACACCTTTTTTCACCTAGGAAAAGAAAAGAAATACATGTGCCCAGAACAGTGAGAGAATGGTTAGTTTTCAGACTATACACACCAGAAAAGAAAAGAATAATCTAAAAAGTGTCAGAACTTTTACAGCTATTGAAGTCAGTTTAGAGTGAAAACTGACAAGGTATTACAAGATGAGCACACCAAGCTCAATCTTAATCTTAGATATTAAGGGAAAGAACAGGATGTGCTGCAGGTCAGGTTGTGGTCAGTCTTTGAGAAAATTCCAAGAAGCTGGTGGGTTATGAAGTTACCACAAGATTGACAGCCACAGGGAGGAGGAAAACTACTGCAATTCATTTTAGGCCTGATTGAGGGCTTTATGCACAAGGTTTATCTCTAGTTTTCTTTAACCTGGGTAGTATTTGGTTTGGAAGCAATACAATGTGTGCTTTGTCATCAGTGTTCAGACTCTCGAGTACAGTGTAAATATACACTGTAGGAGAGCCTGGCACATGTGCCCATTCCTCATTGGAAGAGCAAAACCTAAACTAAGTCACTACAAGAGTGTTTTTCTGCTGAAAGTGTCAGATGTTCACATACAACTCAGATTGCAGTTCACAAGAATTTGCCTTTGTGACCTACAAACACCTTCCAGGCTAGTTACACAGTGTTTAAGCAAACATGCTGCTTTTAGAGAATCAATCATTTGACTTACACGCTACAAATGGTAAGTTACTAACTAGAACT